GTGGCAAATCCCGTCATTTTGCTCGACGAGATCGACAAACTGGGGATGGCCAACTTCCACGGCGATCCGTCGGCCGCTATGCTTGAGGTTCTGGACCCGGAGCAGAATCACACGTTCGTGGATCACTACGTCAACATTCCGATTGACCTCAGCAAGGTGCTGTTTATTGCGACGGCGAACTCGCTCGACACCATCCCGGCACCGCTGCTCGACCGCATGGAAACAGTTCAACTGAGCGGGTACACTACGCTGGAGAAGCGTCACATTGCTACACGGCATCTGCTGCCCAAGCAGATCACGACCAACGGCCTGGCTGATGACAAGGTGCAACTTCCCGAAGAGGTCCTGGACAAGATCATCATGGCCTATACGCGCGAGTCAGGTGTTCGTAACTTGGAGCGTGAAATTGGCAGCGTGTGCCGCTACAAGGCCGTTGAGTACGCCGAAGCCCAAGACAGCCCGGAGAAGCTGCAGCAGTACAAGCCGCTGGTAAGCCTTGAGGACCTCGACGAGATCCTCGGCATCGAGCGCTTTGACGAGGAGCTCGCTGAGCGGACCAGCCGGCCAGGCGTGGTCACGGGTCTTGTTGCGTACAGCAGCGGCGGCCAAGGCAGCATCCTGTTCATCGAAGTCCAGGACATGCCGGGCAAGGGACGCGTGCAGCTGACGGGCAAGCTGGGCGACGTGCTTAAGGAGTCCGTTGAGGTGGCGCTGACATGGGTCAAGTCGCACGCCTTTGAGCTCGGTCTGACCGCCGATCCGGCGGAGGACATCATGAAGAGCCGCAGCGTGCATGTGCACTGCCCTTCGGGTGCTATTCCTAAAGACGGGCCTAGTGCTGGACTGGCGCATACCATCGCGCTCATTTCGTTGTTCAGCGGACATCCGGTCCCTCCCACTATTGCCATGACGGGTGAAATCAGCCTGCGCGGGAAGGTTACGCCCGTGGGCGGCATCAAGGAGAAGTTGATCGGGGCTTTGCGTGCTGGTGTCAAGACGGTTCTCCTTCCGTATGGTAACAGGAAGGACGTCCGGGACTTGCCCGTGGAAGTGAAGGAAGGCCTGCGGATCGAGCATGTCCAGTAAGTCTACCATTCCCATTGCGTTAAGTGGCAGTTGAGGCTAATGGCTACAGGCACATCTGGGAGGCCATGAGGCTCGTATGGCCGGATGTGCACTGGCCTGGCGAATCGCGGTGGACCGGATTTGACAGCCGGCTTTAAGCAGTACCGTAGCATCTTATGAGTGGAGAAGGGGTCTTCTAGGACGGTCTTTTCCCCATAACGTGCATATACCAACGTAGCATTGTGTTTGCATTGTATTAGCGAGGCATTTGCGGGTGGAACGGAGACATGGAGTTGGTCTTGACTTTGATACATGTGGCTTAAAGTTGATGATACTGGGTTTGATTCTCGTGGCCACCCCTGCGAGTTGAGTCTCCGCTGTTCTTTTAGGATAACTTAATCGGATGTAATTATTCCGTGGGATCTCGATGGCCTCGTTCTCTCGCTCTCTTGTCAACGGCCATAGCTTTTGAACTAGCATGTGAAAGGCGGGCATACTCCCGCCACAGGTGATGTCATGAGCCCGTAGCACAGCCACACCGCCCCGCATCTTGCCCCTCGCGCGAAGCCCAAGTTAAACGAGCTCCAATCCTGAGTCACCAGCTCTTGCCACCGGTCTGTTTAAAGAGCAACCTGTTCCTGAAGATCAACCGTATCAACAAGTCACAATCACATCCTCAAGTCAAAAACTCAATTCCTCAACGACCACAATGCCGCTCCCCGTCCTCACAACCGAAAAGCCTTCCGTCTCGGAGACCAAAGAAACCGCCATTGCGACGACAAGCACTACGGCCGGCACTGGCCAGAGCACCACCTATGCCACGAAACCGAAGTCTGAGGCCGAGCTTGCGGCGGAGAAGGAGTATGAGGAGCGGATGGAGGAGGAGTATGCGAAGCGCGAGGGAGGTGCTTGAGGGTGTTGATGGTTGAATGGGTGGATTCCTTCGTGTGTTGCTTTTCACTGGGTCTTTGCGCATATCTGTCTTCTGTACATTGTAACCTGTCTTTTATACTGTAAATACCCTCTCACAATCCAAGCACTATCCTACACGTCCTCACTCAACATACTACGCCCCCTCATCCCCCAAAGCCTTCCTAACAACCCTCATCTCCTCCTCCCCCATCCCCAATCCTAGTGCCAACTCTCTACCCCTAGAGCCCATCTTCCCCCACGTCTTCCTCACAACCCCCACAACCTTCTCCTCCTCCCACTTCTCCCTAAACGCCGCAAACTGCTCCTCAAGAAACACAAGACACGCCACATCCTCCAGCACCTGGCACTCGGGATCACTCTTCAACCCTTCCTTCCGCACCAAAACCCCCACCCTTTCCGCATCTTCCTCCGCATATCCAGCCTCGCGACATATCGCCATAGCGAGCTCGGCCTGTCGCCGCGCCAGCCCGGTCCGCCACGCGTAATATCCGGCTTTGGTCATGGGGTAGGAGGAGCGGGGGACTTCCCACCGGCGCAGGTGCTGGGCACGGACGGCGAGGCGCAGGGTTTCGGATGCGGTGGGTGTGTGGGCTTCGAGGTGTCGTGTCATGGACTGGGCGTAGGCGAGTTCGCTGGGGATCGGGGTGCCGTTTTCGGTGGTGACGGAGGGGTCCTGGGCGTGGGCGGCATCGATGAGCGCGAGGGCGCGGAGGTAGGGGGTCGGCATGGCGGTGGTTTGAAAGGGCGTCGTGGGTAAGGGATGTCGCTGGCGCGGGATGTCAGCGGAGGTTTCGGCGGAGATGGGTTTTGCGCGGGGTGGGGGTCGGGCTTGGCTTTAGACTGGGGTGGCATATTTCAGCCTTGTGAGATTGATGGACGGCGTGTGGCATTCGTGAAGGAAAGTTGGGATGGTTCGAATCCATGACCATGGTATATCGGAATTCCAGGTAAACTCTATGAAGCAGCACTTCCCCATGAAATTATCTCATGCGTCGACGATCTAAGTTGTTCTGGAGGCAGGTGCGTTGAATCGTCAGCCTAGTAGAGGAAAAGAACTAATACTGATTCTCTTCGCGGAAGCATTCTGCTGCCTGAATCACGGTCTCAAAATTCTTAAACGTCGTCGAAGGTGATGGAGTCGAAACAGTGAGGCGTCGTTGGAACATAATGTGGCGTCTCGACCCAGTCCAGCCACACCTGTTGGGTTCCAGTAGGCGCGACCACGTCAACGCTCCACGACGTCCAACAGCGAACAACTCAGACTTGTGAGTCGCTTTGCAGCGATGGAGCCAGTAATGGCCGCTAAAAGGCCACTTACATTTGGCGGTAAGCTCTCCTAACCTCTAGCCCTTCCATCTTCTGTGTTAAATTCGCAATTGCCAGCTCGCCGTTGCGAACTTATAATATTGCAGCAACTCGCAAGATTTTAGACCACATCGCCAACGATCTTGTATCCAAAATGGCTATCCAAGCTCTCACTCGCATGCCTTCAAACTTGTGGAGCTACATCTCCGTTCGGCAAACCAGAAAGCGTCGTGAGAAGCCATTCAAGATCTCAACTCCTACGAAGCCTATCGCAAAGCAACTCTGCACCCCTCCTTCTTCCGTTCCACCTACAAAAAGATTCAAGCTCAGCCCCAGAAAGCCCAAGAATGAGCCTGTCACGCCACGTCGCGACTTTGACATCAGCCGCAGGACGAGCCTAATGACGCCCGAGGAGACGGCGAAAAAGGTGGTTCACGGCAGGATCAAGCAGGAGATCATTGACCTGGACGAGGAAGCGTTGGAGCAACAGAAGCAGGCGAGGGAAATGCTTGCTGATGGCTGGGCGCAAGACACTATCAACGTGTACCAGAAGCTCGAGCGCCGAGGATACGAACCCCTCCTTCCAAAGGGTTGGTTGCTGGACTTTCCTTTGCTCCCGGCATTCACTTTCGCTGAAGACGATGATGCTGCATTTTTGAAGCCGATTTATGGCTCCCACTACAGAGGTACGGAACTTGCTGTAATCTGCACGCACGTGCTAACTGACTTCCTGCAGCAATCAACGCCGTTCAGAACTTCATCGAACTCGGGAAGCGCGTCCGGGACCTATCTTCATCGCCTTTTTCTCAGCGCAAGCAGGGGCTCATTATTCAGCAGCACATCAAGGCCTACCTCGACTGGATGTATACTGATGCTCAAATCAAGGCGGACGTGAAGGCCGGGCGCCTGCTACCCATGATCGCGCTCCATATCGGCCAGCCCAACAAGCCCGACCTCGCAGAACAGAGGATCCACGAAAAGCTGCGCCTCCTTGCAGACCAACATGATGAGCGCCTCATTCCAGGAGCGGAGAACTCTAATGTCATGGTCCCTCCGACGCTTTATGGGGTTGTCATCACTGGCGCTGTTGTTGGGCTTGTGGCATACGAGCCTGCTTCGGTGGAAGATGACATTCGCACTTTGGCGGTTTTCAACTACGCCAAACCGCTTATGGACGTGTGGAGCAGTCTTGCTATTGCCATCATTGTTGTCCATTGTCGAGGTCACATGCTGCGGGCAAAGAAGATTCTGTCGCAGGCAGAGGGCTGGGAACAAGCTTCGAGTTCGTCTCAGTCTGAGGATGACTGAGATTCATGGTGTGCGGGGACTTCATTTCCTTTTTATATCCGCACGATGGAAATTTTACGGTGGCATTTCAGCGGGACGGCGTTCTGCGCGCGGTTATGATACCCTCAGAAGATTGCATTCTGTGTTGAGTCGGGCATCGGGCTGGCTTAGACATCGACGCTCCGTTTTGCTGTCGGTTCACCTCAACAGCATATAGATTCTGTAAACAGTGATAGACCTTTTCACGTACATCCGAGTCTATCTCACCTCCGTTATTGTTCCGTACAATTCGTCTGTTGGCCTGTGAAAGGCGAGCACTGAGAGCGTCGAGTACATCTTCGGAAATATGCTAAACAAAAATCAATCATTATATACTCCAAAGAAGCATCCCCTTTCATCAAACCAAAAGTGGTCGCGTGGTGTAGTTGGTTATCACACTTGTCTAACATCTCCTCCGAGACGTGGACACAAGTGGTCCCCAGTTCGAACCTGGGCGCGATCAGTTGCTTTTGCTAAGCTTGGTTCGGAAGATACATTTTTGCCCGCATGGGCTGGAGAATGCGCTAGGTTGGGATCGGAGCTAAGCGATCATGCGGAAAATTCCGGATGTTTGGAGACGACACTCGGACAGGACGGCGCGATTTTTTATACAACATCAAGTCATATTCCACTACAATCCGAACGGGTATGTGTCCTCGACGCTCAGAGGCTCATCCGGCTGCGCTGTCTCGAAAGCCTCAACCGCCTGGCTTTTATCAAAGAAAACCACGGCATCAAGCTGTTTCGGCAAGGAAGCCATCATGTAGTGACTCCAGAGCTCTGTATCCGGCTTGTAGATCACGCCGATGAACCGTTCCCTTCGCGGAGCAATCAGCTCCTGGCGCACACTCTCGTCCCCCCCAAACTCGGCGCCTCGCAAATCCAGCATGAAGCGCTCCATCCCGGTGTCATGTAACAACCCCTCATAGCTGTCATCTCGCGCCAGAACAACAGGCATGACCTCCTCGGGCATGTCCCACTCATCGGCCGCCGCAACCGTACTCCCAGGCCCGCCGTACGTAGCGCATCCAATGATACTTACCTCGCGAGGCGCAGAAAACGTCTGGCGACACAACTGGCCGAGATTCAGTTCGCCACGCTTGATCATATCCGTGTGGCGCGCGTCACCAATATGCGAGTTGTGCGCCCAAACGACGGCATTTGCGCCGGGCCGCACCTTCAGCAGCCGCGCCAGCGTGTCGAACATGTGCGTGTCGCGCAGGTTCCACGACTCGGCCCCGCCGTAGTACATGGCGCGGTAGTAGCGCTCCGAGTCACGGACGACACGCGCGTTAATCTCTGCGTCGAGGAAGTCGTCGCCGTCTTCCGGTTCCCCAATGAGCTCGAGGCGCTTGAGCAGCAGATCTTGGAGCATAGCGACCACGCCCTCCTCGCACGGCGCATAGCCCTTGTTCAGTGCGACTCGTCCGTACTTGGCCGGGTTCTCGACCCACGGCTGCAGGCAGTTGTACCGCGCCCGCGCAACCTTCGCCGCCTCCGGGTCGTGCCGGTCCAGATACTCCGTCACAGCGGCGATGCTAGCACCCATGCTGTATATGTCGAGCCCAGCAAAGCGGGCGCGCTCGCCGGCCGGAAGCGCCATGTTGTGCGTGCGCAACCACTCGACGAAGTCGCGGACCTCGGTGTTGCGCCACATCCAGCGCGGGAAGTGGTTGAAGATGGGCATGTTGCGCATGCTGTGCGGGGTGCGCGAGCCGCGGACGTAGCGGTCGATGGCGCGGCAGTCGGGCCAGTCGCCTTCGATGGCGACGATGTTGAAGCCGTGGTGCGCGATTAGGCGTTTGGTTATGGCGGCACGGGCGCGGTAGAACTCTGAGGTTCCGTGGCTGGGCTGTTAGATGATGGGAGGGTTCGGACGGTAATTCCGCCTTGGTCTTACCTGCCATCGCCGATAAGCACGACTCTGGAGCTCCCGAACTTGTCGAAGAATTGCCCGAACGCGGGACTCTCGATCTCGGGCAGAACCTGGGCTGCGTTTTTGATGACACTGATGACATCGCGAACCATGATGGTTATAGTTTAGTTGATTGAGGAGGTAATGGTAAGATGTACTGTATTCCCGTTAGATGGGTGATGATCGTTGATCATCGTTGGTGGTGTGAGGGTGACGTCATGTTGATGAATGTAAAGTCAAAGAGTTAGACCTTGAGATACAAACCTTCGATGATATTCAGAGGTGCGTTGCCGGCCTGTCTACCATGATTGTCCGCTTTTCGAATTTTGGCTGCTCAGCGCTGGCCGCTATGGTGCTGTTCCCGTACCCGAACCTGCTGGCAAGGTTCATCACATAGTGTCACCTAAACACTGCCATCCCACCTTTGATATCATATTCGCTGAACTGGAACACTGTTCACCGTTGATGCTACTTCAGGACTCACGTCGGCTCCGTACAGCGGCGAGATGAAGGGAAAGGATTACGCCCGCTGAGACAGATCGTAACCGCTTATCACGTCTTCTTTGAGAGAATAGACTAGGCACTTTGCAGCTGTCAGAGACCGATCTTTCTGTACCTCCATGCGGGCGCCACAGTACTTGGTTGTAGCGTGTACCACAGCAGATGTTGTCGAAGTGAGTGGTCATGAATGTCGCTTCATGCTCCTTGCCGCGGGATGCGCGCTTGACGCCGTGTACCTAGGGCTAGTGTTGGCGCTCGTCCATTCCGACGACCTCCCATTTCAACCTGCCTTGCCACATACTTTTCAACCTCACTCGTTGTCGTGATAGACCTTTTGACAGTTCTTTCGCTTACTTTAACTGCAAAAATAACTTCCATCACCTCCACCGCCTCGAATCCGAACTTCTCTGGATTGTAGTACCTACCTGGAGAAGTCGACGAGCCATACCATGACGGGCCGGCCCATATTCACTGCACATTCATCGGCTGCATGCAGCACAGCGGAAAGGCGACAAACGAACAGACGATGGACGAATTGGATTCGATTTCCGGCTACTCCCAGCTAACAGCCTCGTTGACGCCTACGTCTGTGCCGCAATGCCTCGTCTGGCCCTCCTAGGCCAACCAACTGCTAGAAAGCCTTGCGTGTACTTTCATGCTGGGCGTCGAGCGTATCTACTGGATATATCCGATGTATCAAGTGCCGTCGCTATGCCTCTAGCATCCATTGGGTGTGGCCTCAAGTTTCTTTTTTCCGTTTGTCGCGGGGGAATGGACTGTGGCTTCTTGCCGCTCGCTATCTTCCTAGCTGCTCCCACGCGGTCCACCTCCATGAACCATGAAAGGCTGGAATATTTATGCGCGTTCTGGGTTCCGGGATCGTGATGATGTTCGTGGCCGCAGTCACTGTCTTGGACCGATGAGTTGTTCGTCTTGCCTCCTCTCTAACCCCGATGGATGTCGGCTGCGAGCAAGGATTAATGCAAACGGCTGGATTTAGATGTCTGTCAAATCGCCCATTTGGTGAAGTCCAGAATCACACTATCGCCTTCTAAACAGTCGGTGTCCAATCTGCGCCCTGCCGAGCACCCGTCCTGTCTCGCTCCGGGTAATAGCATGAGAGCGAGTGCAATCCTTGGACGGGCGGATTTTGTCCCATGCTCTGCCGCTTTCAAAGTTGTTGAGGCAGCTTGAGTTAAGGGTGAGACGGAAGGCGAAGATGGGCTAACAACCTGTTCCTTCAACCCCATACAATAAGGATAGTCCAGCTCCTCGCTAGCTCCACATCTCCTTTCCTCCACAACCTCCTCTCGGCTTCCGCCATTTTTTCACAGCAGAATGTCGCTGGAGTCAATTTTCAACCACCTTGTGCTGCCTCCAAAGCTGCCAGGCAGGGAGGATAGCAACTTGGACGAAATCAATCGCCAGCTCACAACTCGACTTCTCAAAGCCGTCGACACACTTAGAGATTCAGATGACGAATTCTTTCAAACCCTTGACAGTATTAGCCGCTCCATCAAGCTTTGCGAAGCCATTAACGAAGATGGATGGATCAACAAATCGGCCCTCATGAATGCCTTTCCCTCAGTCCAGCACTCGGACGCAGTCATCTTGCATATCAGCGGGCAGAATGCTGGTCTCCTGATACGGCCTGAGACTGAGTGAGTGACATTGGAATCTCATAACTTCATCGACTGATAATCACAGCAAAATCGTCTTTGAAGCTTTCGAAGCTTCACCGGTTTCCGAAGACGTCTTGGCTTCGAAGGCCGCCCTTGAATGGGATTTCCCTGGCAGTGCGGTCGCTATGAGCCTTCGGGACTTCGTGGATCCCAACTTCCAGGAAGCCATTGCCGATTTTCTTGGAGAAGTCAGCTCGCAGACATTCGGCAGGTTTGCGGCCAGCACCAAGAAGGCAGGAAAGGACAACGTCGAGGTCCGGGACACTACGGATCCAGCTCTCGTGACACAACTGCTCATGAACTTACTGGAGCCTCAAGGATGCCGCGTATTTCCTCCTCTGTTGCGCAAACGTGTCTACGACAACGTGTGCTGGGACAATTCAGAAATACCTTGGAGGCGGTCTCCATTCTGGCTCGTGCTCCGCGTGTCACTTCAGAGACTACTTTGCCTGTCACTGGGCGACGGGGAAGGACGGGTGCATTATAAATTCATCCTTTGCCTTGTATTGGCGAAACTGCTCGATGAATCATTGGCCCACCCCAGCCTCGAGACTCCACATCTCTTGAAGGCTAAGCTCTGCAGACGTCTCGGGAAGCTCGAATCAGAGAGATCTCAAGCGTTTGGCTCCCTCCATGAGGTCTATGGCAAGCTTTTTGCAGCGCTGGAACCGTGTTTGCGAGCGTCTGTCCTGGCGGCCACCAACCACATCGAAGTGAAGTGGCGGCAATACAGGAAAGACATTCAGAGACCGATTCCGAAGCTGCCACTTCGGGTTGGCCCATTGGAAACTCGCCTTTTGCTTCGAAACAGTGGAGAACATCTCGGGGCCATCTTGGACGAGTTCCAACGGTCGAGCAGAATGAGATACATATCTTCCGAGGCACGCGACTATGAAATTGCTGTCAGAGATTACATGTCTAAAGCTCCGATGCATCAGCTCTTTACTCGCTACATGTCGCTTGCAGGTCTCAACTGTGCTATGGTCCGCTTTGCAAACGAAACACAGGAAGTGCTGGGCTATCATCCTCTAAGGATAGTCAGTGACAACATCCACAAATTCCTCGATGAAGCTCACGGCGCCTTTGATTCTTGTCCGGAGCAGATGAGTAGCATCCTTCTCACTGTTTTCAGGCTTTGGATGGCCATGGACGAATGCACCACGCGCAGCTTTCCTCTTTTGAAAGAGTATCATCCTGGCTTTGAACCTGAGATTCTGGATGTTCTGCAGCTGTCTCGCCTTGAGGACATGGTGTCTTTGCGGACAGTGCAAGAATACGTCATGGAAAGGTGCAAGCATTCCGGCAGGGCGACCATTTTTGCGGATCCTGGACTCGATTGTTTCGCTTACCGCTTTGTACAAGAAT